TGGCCAACGGCAGCTCCATCACTGAGTTCCTCCTCCTGGCCTTCGCAGACAGATGGGAGCTGCAGCTCTTGCACTTCTGGCTCTTCCTGGGCGTCTACCTGGCTGCCCTCCTGGGCAACGGCCTCATCATCACCGCCATAGCCTGGGACCACTACCTCCACACCCCCATGTTCTTCTTCCTCCTCAACCTCGCCCTCCTCGACCTGGGCTCCATCTCCACCACTGTTCCAAAAGCCAGGGCCAATTCCCTGTGGGGCACCAGGAACATCTCCTACACCAGATGTGCTCTCCAAGTTTTTCTAGTTGTCTTTTTTATTTCAGCAGAGATTTCTCTCCTCACCATCATGTCCTACGACCGCTACGTGACCATCTGCAAGCCCCTGCACTACGGGACCCTCCTGGGCAGCAGAGCTTGTGTCCACATGGCAGCAGCTGCCTGGGCCAGTGGGTTCCTGAATACTCTCCTGCACACGGCCAATACATTTTCCCTGCAACCAGTTCTTCAGTGAAATCCCCCAGATCCTCAAGCTCTCCTGCTCACAAGTCTATCTCAGGGAACTTGGAATTGTCATGGTTAGTGTCTTAGCTGGATTTAGTTGTTTTGTTTTCATTGTGGTGTCCTATGTGGAGATCTTCAGGGTGGTGCTGAGGACGCCCTTGGAGCAGGGACAGCACAAAGCCTTTTCCACCTGCCTCCCTCACCTGGCCGTGGTCTCTCTCTTTGTCAGCACTGTCATGTTTACCTACCTGAAGCCCTCCTCTATCTCCTCCCCATGGCTCAACCTGCTGGTGTCAGCTCTGTATTCGGTGGTGCCTCCTGCAGTGAACCTCCTCATCTACAGCTTGAGAAACCAGGAGCTCAAGGATGCTCTGAGGAAACTGGGAAATGGATGTTCTTCTAAACAATAAACTCTCCATCGTCCTCTGCAGTACATTTCTTAGGTCACTCATTGCTGGCCCAGCCTCTCTTCAGGATTCATTGTTGCTGCTGGTGTTAAATTTGTTAGAATGTTGTTCAATGAGATTTGGCTTTTTTCACAACACTTGTAATTCATTATTTCCCTCTCTGGTGTGACCCTGATAATGTGTAAAGGAGGTGCCGTGCTCCCTGGGTGCTTCCACAAAATAAAGGATCCTTTAGTGACTTGTTTCCCAGAGGTCCTTCCTGTGAGCCCTTCTGTGGAGCTGCAGGGGCAGTGCCTGTGTGCAGAGGTGGAGGGGCAAAGAGTCCCAGCACAGCAGCCCTGCCAGGGAGCACCAGCGCTTGCTCTGCCCTCAGCTGCTCTTTCTTCAGTGCCACCCTCTCCTCCTGAGCCCTTGGTTGCTGGGAGGCCTGAGTGCTCTGGCAGCTTGGTGACAGTGCTGATGCATGGCTGTGCTGGGACTGCAGGCAGGGACAGGCCATGGGCACCTCTGGGACAGAGCTGCCTCCACAGCAGCATTGGCATCACAGCAGGGCATCTCATCAGGGTAGGGCCTGAAGGTCTACCTACAAAGCTGATCTCACGAGCATGCCCAAGAAAGTGGCACTCCTTTTGCCTTCCCTATTAAACTGCCTTTGTCTCAAATCAGAAGCTTTTTCACTTTAACCCTTCTAATTCTCTCCCCCACCTCACACAGAGTGAGAGAGTGAGCAGCTCTGTGGGGCTGTGTTGCCATTAAGGGTTTAACCATAGCACTGCCCTGAGGCAATCATCCTGGAATGAGAAGGTCCAAAGTTGATCTTTGCATTGGACAGATGAGATGTCATCATGGACAACATGGACTTGACGTGAGAGGAACCTGAGTGAGCACAAACACCATCAGCTGTTCTTGGAGGTGCCATGAAGGGCTATGGGACAGACAATGTTCCAAGGTCATTTCATATTGAGAGAAAGATCCCCTGGGAAACCCCCAGAATGCAGCACTGGGATGGACTCCCTTGAATCCCAGTCCCTGTCTCCGTTTCTCATGCCATGGGGCATCTCAGAAGAGTGTAGACCAGAGCAACCCAGCGCAGGGCTGAGGGGCCTTCCAGCCTCTGGCAGTGGCAGCACG